AAGGTGATCTTCAATTTTTGAACCTGCTGTGGTACTTGCTCCAATGCGAAAGCTGTGACCATTATATAAGTCTGAATTGTATCCAAGTACGGCAAGTATCTTTTTAAGAGAAGAAATGAAATAGTTTCGTGTTAAAGCTTTCCTATTTTCCATCACAAAGAAAGCGTCTTGTGTTTTACTATCTTTGAATTTTCTATTACGAAATTCCATGTAACGTTCCAGAGATAAGACTGGACAAACAGAAGCTCCCGACGCAAATAAATGAATATCAACACCTTCACGAAATGGGTCTGTTTTGGAAGCTTTCAAATGAAAGGTCACTTTATCCTTTAGAAACCGGATATCCTCGATACTCACATTGCATTCTGAATCAAACGAATGTAATACTGTAAATTCTCCACATCGAAGAAATCCAAAATATGCCGTGACACACGCTGCTTCCAGAAGAATGTCTACATACGGCGTATAATACCCTTTCCTCAAAAACTGACAAATATCCTTTAGTATCGTGAATGTAATTGGCAGTCTAGGTTTTGTTGATTTTTTCTCATTTTTCTTTATTCCTCTATATAAAGCATCGAGTCGATAAAGTTTATCAGAACCGTCGCTAAATATCGAAGGCTTCCCAAACTCTAAATATTTATATCGTATTCCACATATATACATTTTAATAGTAGAACATTTCAAATGCAAGTTTTTGAAACAATGCGTAGCGAAATGAATGAGAGATTCTTCAGTTAACGGAGGCATGTCTGAAATTCTCCAAATCACCCCAGTCATTCGTAAGAAGGTGGTATAGGCGGAATACCCACACTCATACTGTGTACGTGTTCTTGGCGCTATTGAAGTTTTGAGTAAACAACTCACACTATTAGTCAATTCCACATTACGAGTGAGAAGTGCGGACAAGTCATGGCTTGTGCATCTGCTTCCGGAGCTTCTTTCCGGAACGTCTGAAAATCAAATCGAGAAAGTGAATCGGCAATCACATTTTTAACACCAGGGATATGCTTACTTGAAAATGTAAAATTGTTTATTGCAGCTAACCAAGTGAGTTTACGCATTAGTTTCATAATATCTTGCACCTTTGATCGCCCCTTGTTTATAATGTTAACAGTAGATTCATTATCACAATGAAAAACTATCCGTTTCCTCGTCCATTCTTTGCCCCAAAGTACTGCCGCCACTGCAATTGGGTACAATTCTCGGAAAGCCATAGACATATCAGAATCAAGTATATTTTGTAACTCTGACGGCCAAGAACTACAAAACCAATGTCCCTTGAAGTACCCCCCGAAGCCAAGTGTTGAAGCAGCATCTGTATACAATTCCAAGTCCGCTGCACTGGTAGTGAAAGTATCGTAGAAAAAAGAGACGCAATTCCACTGTTTCAGAAAAATATACCACATCTTTAAATCATCTCGACATTCGGCTGACAGTGAAACATAGTAATTGAGATTATTAACTTTAGTCGATAGGTTTATGAGATATGTAACAAAAGTCCGTCCAGGTATAATGACTCTCGCAGCAAAATTGAAATGTCCCAAGAGTTGTAAAAGTTCTCGTTTTTTAATAGAGTGTCGACGTAGAAATGTTCCAATGAAATAAATAATACGTTCAACTTTATCTTGTGGAAGTCTAGCTTCCATCTTATCTGTGTCTAATATAATTCCTAGATACTCTAGTGTGGTATGTGGACCTACAGTCTTTTTCTTAGATAATGGTATATTCAATCTATTAAAAATTAAGGTGATAATTGCCATAGTTCTGTCTCCTGAAGTGTCAGATGCTTGAACAGTTAAAAAATCATCAAGCAGATGAAGTATAACTGGAATATTGTAATTGTTCTTGGCTATCCAACAAATTGCCACTGACAAATTGTCAAATATTTTAGGTGATGATCGTGAGCCAAAACAAAGAGGCACATAATAGTAATATAAATTTCTCCATTTAATACAGTATAAATGATGCTGCTCCCTTTTGATCCCTAATTGTTTGAATGCATCGGCAATGTCCGCCTTATTTAATATTGATAATCGTCCGAATTCTTTAATTGCGTTGATTGCATCATCTATTTTAACGTATGACAGCGAGCATTGATCTTTGTCGATTAAATCGTTAATACTAGAATGATCTTGACTTTCGTGTGGAGACGACAGATCAACTATTAGCCTCTTTTTCCCTGAATATTTGCCTTCCACTATACCTATTGGGCTCACACGATACCTATCAAAAGGGAGCTTTTTAAATGGCCCAATTAGATAACCTTTATCGACCTCTTGTTTAATTATAATATCAACGCTTTCTGGATTTCGGAAAGCTGATTGTAGATTTTTACATTCAACTGTTGGTAATTCTGTTTTCGACACCATGGTATCAAAACCGTTTTTTATACCGTCTAATAAATATTTTACAAAATGCCTATCCGGATGTTTTGTTAATTCTTTTTCAAGGTTGTTTACGTTGATGTGAGAAAGTTGATAATCATCATTCATTTCGAGTCACCTAGATGTTTTTACTTTCTGCTTATCAGCAGTTTTGTTTTGATTACTAGTACTGGTATCCTTGTTGTTACCACAGGTCTTAAAGCCATGACCTCTACTTTTACACTTAAGACACGCATGTGTAAATTTGCATTCTTTCCACTTGCATGTTCCATAATTGAAATTGTTACAAAGATCATAACCCTCTGCTTGAATGATATTTCTCCCATGCCTATCTTTTGATCTATCTACAAAACGACCGTTCGTCGTGTTTAGTGGGGCGCATGGAGGAGTTTCTTGATAAACTTGTTTTTGGCAGAACTTCGTTGTGTGGTCGTAATCTCCACAGAGTTCGCATTCTCTACTTTGTAAACCATTCATCACCAAATGCAATAGACGGTCGTCTACCTTTCCCCAGTTAATTGCGATATTATGTTCTATGATAGCATTGGCGGCCTTAGTAGAAAACAATTTGTGATATTTATAAAATCTTTGCCCGTAGTTATAGGCTATATCATTTATATCGGCCTCGTATTGATCAAGTTCATCTCGCCGTTGAGGATATACTTTACAAATGATGTTCCTTAATTTCCTGAAGGCCTTGTTGAACTCATCAAGGGTCAAACTTTTCTCTAGACGAGGATCCTTAGGAGCTGATAACTCTACAGTTAGCCCTTCAGAAAAGACAGAGCGTGTTTGGGGAACCTCGTTCTTTGGATAAAGTAATAAAGAAAGGTTTATGTCCTTACCTTCTAAAATTTGCTTGCGCAAGGAAGTAGACACGTAGTCCAATTTTGGCAAATCCTCCGCAAATACAATCCCTTTTGAAGTGTCTACTTGTCTATGGAAGGTTTGTTCAGCATTAGCAGAAGAGATCTGGGTATTGTTTCCATAGGTAGCCTGATATGCTGAGGCAAAGTCGAAGTTTGACTTTGGATTCGACAGACTATTGCTACTGCTTGATGAAGAATCTTTATTGGCTAGAAGTCCTACCACCATAGATGACATCGCCGACATAGCTTCATTTGCCGACTTTAGCGCGGAAGTCGAGTCCTTCAGCATTTCTTCTGTACGTGAAATTGTACTGTTTTCATTTGTGTGTTGATCAGTGTCCACGGAAGGTTGCTCATCGGCAGCGACTGTCATTTCATCAGTATTGCTACTATTTGGTTCCGGAGAAACAACCGGACCACTTTGTGTTGAATTTGCAATGTCTTTTTGATTGACAAAATACAGTTGTCGAATCATGTCTAATCTCCAAGTAGATTTGACTGTAATTCCCATACTTTTCAAATGGGTAACATATTGTTCCTTGTTCCAATGCATTGGATCATTTGGATCATGCCGCGCTGGCCGTTTTCGGCTACTCATTATGAAACAAATTTGATAATCCAGTTAATATGAATATTATGTATAAAGTTAATCATGAATGAATAAGAAATGATATTAAGTTTAGTCTATATAGAATCGACAACACTACTCCATTGCAAATTAATAATGGCATAGGTCACGTGCTACATGACTTCACTCTTCATGCATGAGGCACCCTAAGGTGCACGTGGAAAAATAGTTTTGTGTGTATAAAAACAATTTATTTAAGTGAACCTATATAAATAACCCTTAGTGCAATCTAAAAGGATACTGACACTTTACAGGATTATTTCCCTTTGATGTGGCGTAATGTTAGAAGTATCAGTAAAACATGTATTAGAGTGATACTTATGATTGACTTTGGAAATCATGTCATTTAAGATTGATATCACTTTTCCTGAAATGCAGACATGTTGTTAATTTGTGGAGTCAAATTCATGGTTCATGAAACCTGACATAGAACAAATCAATTTGAAATCTGTATTAATTTGTGTGTATTTATATTTGTTTACCTTGAAATCAAGAACTAACATTTTATTCTGGTAAAAATTTCAGTATGCAGAAGAAGGTTGTATATCAACAAAATTTTCATTAAAAAGCATACAATAAAATCTAGTACAGAAAAAAATGCTTAATTCTTAAATTGACAAATTATATCACAATATAGGATGCTTGCAAGCTAAAAGTACTCAACATGCCAATATGATATCTTGCCATATCCTACATTTAATATCTGTTACTCTGCTAAATCATATAAAACTTTCATACAGCAGTTTTACGAACAGTACAGGAAGACATGATTCTGCTTGCAATGTCCCATGCACACTTTACTGAAAATAAAAGAAACAGTATTTCCATAAACTATATATAACCTACCAAATAGATATTTATCCCCCAAAACACTGGACCCAGTTATTTAATTATACTATGACAATGAAATTATAACCTTTGTCAATGAGTCTGTTGTGACAAACAACATAATTTTAAGTACAATTCCTAAACTTGTTAAGGAAAATTAAGAATAAGAAAGGAAAAGTTGTTCCATATATCATTAATTTTTGTATGAATTTTGTCATGTATTAGGGGTATTTTAGATAGCAAGTGTTTTGAGTTGTAAATCAATGATCATACTTTTTTTATTTTCAGCTACATGGGTAGGAGGAGGATTTATAAATGGAACAGCAGAAGTGATTTATCAGGATGGATTTGTCTGGTGTCAGGCTCCATTTGGATATGCTCTCAGTCTTGTATTTGGTAAGTTTTTTTAAGACAAATTTGTGATCATATGCTTTATATAAATCCCTTAGAGAGTTTTACAGATGGATCACATGTTGGTTGACAGTAATGGAATATCTGTGTAATAGATTACCATGGATATGTTCCAATTGTTGTAACAACAATCCCATCTTCTTTTCCTTGATTGGGACATCACAGAATGAGATTTATCACCTAATTTGAACTTACCTTTGATCAAACAAACTTTTTCAACTAAATTTAAGTATTTCTGGGACATTTTTTTTATATTTTAAATCGAACAGTTTCCAAAACATGGCCACATGGTTAAGCATTAACTGAAAGTAATTTAAAAATTTAAATTATTTTTTCATTGCATTTATAAACCATTGAAATATTAATGAATTATATTAATTCAAGCCAAGCCAATATTCCTTCTTTTTGTTTCCTTCATAGATTTAGTTCAACACGCAAGATTCACAGTATTTTAAGGCTATACAGCATCAATATACAGCTTAACTTAATATTTCTTTGGAAGGTGGATATTAGAATATAAAATTTAAGGGGAAGTAACTCAGATTTTTTGTCAAACAACTTGGAAATACACAAATTATTTATCACTTTAAGCAAAGGTAATTGGTGTTAATTAACAGTGTGTTTGACACCAAAGCTGTCAAGTGAAGCCATGCACTTAATGGGTCACTTAATTTGACAGTTGAAACAGCTAGTTGAGCTTCCTGTCCAGGAAGAATTACGAATTTGCTGATATTTCAAAGGAAAATTACTTATGTAATCTTTCATGTCATACTAAAAAGTCTTAAGGCTCAAGAATATGGGTGTAAAAGGGTCATTTTCCAAATTCCTGGGTTATTTAACGACCTGGCAGGTATTTAAAAATCCCAGGTGAGAGGTGAAATTTACTGGTGTCACCCGCAGAATACGGGTCAGTTGACAGGTATGCATTGGATGCCACTAGTGAAGAAGGATCTGCTTACCCTTCCAGAGCACCTGTGATCACCCCCTGGTTTATGGTAATGTTTGTGTTGGTCAGTCTTTAGTTTTCCTATGTAGTGTTTTGTGAAATTGTGAAGTTTTGTCTTTCTTTTTTTGCCATGGCGTTTTCAGTTTCTCATTGACTCATATAGTTTTTAAGAAAAATCTATGTATTTGAAATTAGAGATTTGATGATTTTAAGACAAATTTAAGAAGGTTTTTCACTGATTTTATATAGCTTATATACAAATCTTCACCCATTTTGAAAGAATTCAATCAGTAATATTTCAGATGATAAAAGAGATAAATGCATTATTTTTTCCATTTTCAGTTGTAGTTCAACGAGCCAGAGTTGTATGCAAATTTTTACTAAAATCTGTGACATAGCCATGCATTTACTACATGTAACTTGACCTTAATTGTATTTGATGTATGAAGTAATTGTATGATGTACATATAAAAATAAGAAGATGTGGTATAATTGCCAATGAGACAACTCTCCACCAGAGACCAAATGACATAGTAGTTAAAAATTATAAGTCACTGTACAGCCTTCAACAATGAGCAAAACCCATACTGCATAGTCAGCTATAAAAGGCCCTGAAGTGACAAATGTAAAACGATTCAAATGAGAAAACTAACAGCCTGATTTATGTAAAAAAACAATGAACGAAATACAAATATGATATATAGCATCAAACGACAACCACTGAATAATACAGGCTTCTGACTTGGAACAGGCACATACAGAATGTGGCATTGTTAAACATGTTAGTGGGCTCCCAACCCTCCCCCTAATCTGGGACAGTGGTGTAACAGTACAACATATGAACAAACTATAAAAATCAGTTGATAAGGGCTTAACTAATCAAATCACAAAAACACAGACAGGACGACTGGCAGGGTATTTATACATCCCTACAACAAAAAAAGACACTAGGTACAGATCTGAGAGTTCTCGCAGTTACTGACAGCTAGTTCAAAGCCAATAACATGTATCTAGACTAAAGTATCTGTCTTGTTTGACCCTGACCTCATTTTCATGGTTCAAACTTCTGTGTTATGTTTTCCTGGTTAAGTCTGATTCTCATATACTCTAAGATAACAAATAGATTAAGTATATTTGGTGTATGGAATAATGGTAAGGCATACACGTCTGTCTAACAGGCTTTATCTGACCTTGATCTCATTTTCATGTCAGTTGTCTGTTATACTTGTTGCAGTTAGACTTTAAACAAGAATAATTCAATCATGATCAGTAAAGCAGGTGAGACATTTCACTGTGTGTACTTTTGTTTATACCTGTGTCGCTGAAGACTGTTGGAGTAACCAATTTATTAACATCTGCCCTGCAGCCACTTCCTGTTTGACGATATTTTTATGGCCTGACTAAAAAAGCGGTTGGGGCAATATAAATTTACCCTTATCTGTCATTCCGTCATTCCGCAACGAACAGTTATACAGACTTTTTTTCTAAACACCTTCACATATTGAGATGATTTTTAAAAACTCAGTCAATATCAAAGCTACAAATGATACAGCATAAGATTGATTTGTTATTTATCTTGTTTTTCAATTACATTCTAACAGGTGGTTTATTCTTTGCCAAAAAGATGAGAAATGAAGGATATGTAACCATGTTAGATCCATTCCAACAGAAATATGGTGAGAGGATGGGAGGATTATTGTACTTACCAGCATTGTTAGGAGAGGTCTTCTGGTCAGCTGCTATATTAGGAGCATTAGGTATGTTATGAGGTAAACGGGTGCGGATCCAGGATTTTGAAAAAGGGGGAGTGGAGGTTCCCTGGCAAGCCAGCATTTAGAGTGATACTTGTTAAAAAAAAGCTATTATAAACCTTGTGTGAGATAAGCCATGCAAAAACTTGATGCATAATCTTTCAAATAATTGGTCTTCAAGTTTTAGTATGGATAAAGACAAGGGTATATTTTAATTTTAAACTTTAAGGATCTTCATTCTAATATTTGTAAATTTCAAAGTGATGTATGGAATCTCAAGATAAAACATGTGAAATTAATTCTTCATTGTAATAAATAAACATTCAGTAATAACAAACATTTACCTTTTTAGCTCACCTGGCCCAAAGGGCCAAGAGAGCTTTTCTCATCACTTGGCGTCTGTCGTCCGTCGTCGTCCGACGTCGTTGTCCGTCGTCGTTAACTTTTTACATTTTGAACTTCTTCTAGAGAACCACGGAATGGAATGAAACCAAACATGGCATGAATGTTCCTTATGAGGTACTGACCAAGTATAGTTACTTTGTAGCGGATACATCATCCAAGATGGCCGCCAGCGGGGGACTTAGTTTAACATAGGACCCTATGGGAAATACATACAAACGTCTTCTTTTAGAGACCCACTGAATGGAATGAAACCAAAACATGGCATGAATGTTCCTTATGAGGTGTTGACCAAGTGTTGTTACTTTGAAGCTGATCCATCATCCAAGATGGCTGCCAGCGGGAGACTTAGTTTAACATAGGAGCCTATGGGAAATACATACAAATGTCTTCTTTTAGAGAACCACTGAATGCAATGAAACCAAACATGGCATGAATGTTAACATTCCTTATGAGGTGCTGACCAAGTGTTGTTACTATGAAGCAGATCCATTATCTAAGATGGCCGCCAGTGGAGGACTTAGTTTAACATAGGACCCAATGAGAAATACATACAAATGTTTTTATACGACCGCAAAAATTAAAAATTTTTTGGTCGTATATTGGTATGACGTTGGCGTCGTCGTCGTCGTCGTCGTCGTCGTTGTCGTCGTCGTCGTCGTCGTCGTCGTCCGGCGTCGTCTGGCGTCGTCCGAAGACACATTGGTTTTCGCACTCTAACTTTAGTTTAAGTGAATGGATCTCCATGAAATTTTACCATAAGGTTCAATACCACGAAAGGAAGGTTGGGATTGATTTTGGGGGTTATGGTACCAACAGTTAAGGAATTAGGGGCCAAAAAGGGGCCAAAAATAAGCATTTTTGTAACTTCCAGACAATAACTTGTGTGTAAGTGTATGGATCTCTTTGACATTGTACCACAAGGTTCCATATCACAAAGGGAAGGCTGTAATTGATTTTGGGGGTAATTGCCTCAAAATGTTAGGAATTAGGGGCCAAAAAAGGGGCAAAAAACAAGCATTTTTCTAGTTTCATGACAATAACTTGTGTTCAAGTGTATGGATCTCTCTGAAATTGTACTGCAAGGTACCATACCACAAAGGGAAGGCTGAGATTGAGTTTGGGGGTGATGAATCATAAGGGGGTTCAAAAATTTTGGGGGGGGATTTTTTTTTTTCTTTTTTTTTCTTTTTTTCCTTTTTTTTTTCTTTTAAAATTTTCCATTTTAAGTTGGTTATTTCTGATTTATATTTAAAAGCAAATAATAATGATATGGTAGGAGATACAAACCAAACAGGATGTGTAAATTATTATATAATAAGTATTGTGCAATAGCAAGAAATTTTCAATTGCACAGTATTGCACAATAGCAAGAAATCTTCAATTGCACAGTATTGTGCAATAGCAAGAAATCTTCAATTGCACAGTATTGCGCAATAGCAAGAAATATCCAATAGCACAATATTGCGCAATAGCAAGAAATTGTCAATTGTACAGTATTGCACAATAGCAAGAAATAATCAATTGCACAGTATTGTGCAAAAGAAGATACTTCGTATAAATTGCTTATTTCTTGATCAATTTCAATGGGGTTTTATTCTTGAATTCTTGGGGTTCTTTAATATGCTGAATCTAACCGTGTATTAAGTTTTTGGATTTTGGGCCCCGTTTTTAAATTGGTCCACATTGAGGTCCAAAGGGTCCAAAATTTAACTTTGTTTGATTTCATCAAAAATTGAATTATTGGGGTTATTTGATATGCCGAATCTAACCGTGTATTTAGATTCTTAATTTTTGGTTCTGTTTTCAAATTGGTCTACATAAAGGTCCAAAGGGTCCAAAATTAAACTTAGTTTGATTTCAACAAAAATTGAATATATGGGGTTCTTTGATATGCTGAATCTAACCATGTATTTAGATTTTTGATTATGGGCCCAGCTTTCAAGTTGGTCCAAATCGGGGTCCAAAATTAAACTTTGTTCGATTTCAACAAAAATTGAATATATGGGGTTCTTTGATATGCTGAATCTAACCATGTATTTAGATTTTTGATTATGGGCCCAGTTTTCAAGTTGGTCCAAATCGGGGTCTAAAATTAAACTTTGTTTGATTTCAACAAAAATTGAATATATGGGGTTCTTTGATATGCTGAATCTAACCATGTATTTAGATTTTTGATTTTTGGGCCCCGTTATCAACTTTGTCCACATTGAGATCAAAAGGGTCCAAAATTAAACTTTGTTTGATTTCAACAAAAATTGAATATATGGGGTTCTTTGATATGCTGAATCTAACCATGTATTTAGATTTTTGATTATGGGCCCAGTTTTCAAGTTGGTCCAAATCGGGGTCCAAAATTAAACTTTGTTTGATTTCAACAAAAATTGAATATATGGGGTTCTTTGATATGCTGAATCTAACCATGTATTTAGATTTTTGATTATGGGCCCAGTTTTCAAGTTGGTCCAAATCGGGGTCCAAAATTAAACTTTGTTTGATTTCAACAAAAATTGAATATATGGGGTTCTTTGATATGCTGAATCTAACCATGTATTTAGATTTTTGATTTTTGGGCCCCGTTATCAACTTTGTCCACATTGAGATCAAAAGGGTCCAAAATTAAACTTTGTTTGATTTCATCAAAAATTGAATATATGGGGTTCTTTGATATGCTGAATCTAACCATGTATTTAGATTTTTGATTATGGGCCCAGTTTTCAAGTTGGTCCAAATCGGGGTCCAAAATTAAACTTTGTTTGATTTCAACAAAAATTGAATATATGGGGTTCTTTGATATGCTGAATCTAACCATGTATTTAGATTTTTGATTATGGGCCCAGTTTTCAAGTTGGTCCAAATCGGGGTCCAAAATTAAACTTTGTTTGATTTCAGCAAAAATTTAATATATGGGGTTCTTTGATATGCTGAATCTAACCATGTATTTAGATTTTTGATTATGGGCCCAGTTTTCAAGTTGGTCCAAATCGGGGTCCAAAATTAAACTTTGTTTGATTTCAACAAAAATTGAATATATGGGGTTCTTTGATATGCTGAATCTAACCATGTATTTAGATTTTTGATTTTTGGGCCCCGTTATCAACTTTGTCCACATTGAGATCAAAAGGGTCCAAAATTAAACTTTGTTTGATTTCATCAAAAATTGAATATATGGGGTTCTTTGATATGCTGAATCTAACCATGTATTTAGATTTTTGATTATGGGCCCAGTTTTCAAGTTGGTCCAAATCGGGGTCCAAAATTAAACTTTGTTTGATTTCAACAAAAATTGAATATATGGGGTTCTTTGATATGCTGAATCTAACCATGTATTTAGATTTTTGATTATGGGCCCAGTTTTCAAGTTGGTCCAAATCGGGGTCCAAAATTAAACTTTGTTTGATTTCAACAAAAATTGAATATATGGGGTTCTTTGATATGCTGAATCTAACCATGTATTTAGATTTTTGATTTTTGGGCCCCGTTATCAACTTTGTCCACATTGAGATCAAAAGGGTCCAAAATTGAACTTTGTTTGATTTCATCAAAAATTGAATATATGGGGTTCTTTGATATGCTGAATCTAACCATGTATTTAGATTTTTGATTATGGGCCCAGTTTTCAAGTTGGTCCAAATCGGGGTCCAAAATTAAACTTTGTTCGATTTCAACAAAAATTGAATATATGGGGTTCTGTAATATGCTGAATCTAACCGTGTATTAAGTTTTTGGATTTTGGGCCCCGTTTTTAAATTGGTCCACATTGAAGTCCAAAGGGTCCAAAATTTAACTTTGTTTGATTTCATCAAAAATTGAATTATTGGGGTTCTTTGATATGCCGAATCTAACCGTGTATTTAGATTCTTAATTTTTGGTTCCGTTTTCAAATTGGTCTACATTAAGGTCCAAAGGGTCCAAAATTAAACTTAGTTTGATTTTAACAAAAATTGAATTTTTAGGGTTCTTTGATATGCTGAATCTAAACATGTATTTAGATTTTTGATTATGGGCCCAGTTTTCAAGTTGGTCCAAATCAGGGTCCAAAATTAAACTTTGTTTGATTTCAACAAAAATTGAATATATGGGGTTCTTTGATATGCTGAATCTAACCATGTATTTAGATTTTTGATTTTTGGGCCCTGTTATCATTTTTGTCCACATTGAGATCAAAAGGGTCCAAAATTAAACTTTGTTTGATTTCATCAAAAATTGAATTCTTGGGGTTCTTTGATATGCTGAATCTAACCATGTATTTAGATTTTGGATATTGGACCATAAAAGGTGAATGTCCAATTTAAAATTTTTAAGTTCTTAGACCACATTCATTCTGTGTCAGAAACCTATGCTGTGTCAAATATTTAATCACAATCCAAATTCAGAGCTGTATCAAGCTTGAATGTTGTGTCCATACTTGCCCCAACTGTTCAGGGTTCGACCTCTGCGGTCGTATCAAGCTGCGCCCTGCGGAGCATTTTATTTCTTTTAGAGAACCATTGAATGGAATGAAACCAAACATGGCATGCATGTTCCTTTTGAGGTGCTGACCAAGTGTTGTTTCTTTGAAGCTGATCCTTCATCCATGATGGCCGCCAGATGGGGACAATGTTTAACAAAGGACCCTATGGACAATACATACAAATGTCTTCTTTTAGAGAACCACATACTGAATGGATTGAAACCAAACATGGCATGAATGTTCCTTATGAAGTGCTGACTAAGTTTTGTTACTTTGAAGCTGATCCTTCATCCATGATGGCTGCCAATGGGGGGACTTCCTTTAACATTAGACCCTATGGGAAATACATACAAATGCTTCTTCTAGAGGTGCACTGAATGGAATGAAACCAAAACATGGCATAAATGTTTCTTATGAGGTGTATATGGAAACACTGGATTCATCTTCTATAATATTATCAGAAACTTTCCGTCTTGTTGACAGATAAAGACTAATAGTACTGCAACTGACCTCGAAAAAAACGCTTAGTTGACGAGTTTAATGTTCCGGGATAACACACGGCTGAAAATTGTTTTAAATGATAGAATTATATCTATATTTTAATTTCTGTCTGGTCGTAAAAAGTTTCTTCGGTCACATTTTTGTATTTTAGCCCTTTAATGGGGCACCACTCATTTTACGGTTTTGGGTAGTCACCTTAAAATCCAAAAACAAAATTGTTTTGTTAAATTTCCGGCTCTTTTCGTAAATATTTTCGATGCACATATCATCAAGGATCATCGGAATGATAGAGACATAAATATAATACCATCCTCGAGTAAAAGTTTCAAACTAAAAGTTAGCAGTTTTTTAGATGGAAATTTAACGCATTTTTCTTTGAAAACGAGAAAACATATGATTCAAAAACAGTATTTGACATTTGAGAGGACAAAATATATTATTGCGATACTGCATGCAAATTTTGTTGGGCAAACTCCAATTAATTTTGTCAAAAACTCAAAAATAAAACCATCATTTATACCTTTTTTTTTTACGGAAATTTCATATCCGTCAATCAGCTCCATCATTTATTTTTTTCTTCACAATGAATTTGATAGTTTCGATGTGATTATGTACATATTAATTTGGAGTTTTTGAAGTGTGATTTGCTTATATATAGTAGTTCTTTCGAGTACTTTCTGTAAATACGTTATATTTTTGTTAAAAGAATTTTGACTTTTTATAAAAGTTAACAAAATCCTTCGGATAAGATGCTTTTCCGGATAATGACTGTTGTGGAAGTCCTAAAAAGTTTACTCATACAAGTCCCAAAAGGAGAAGGCTTGATAGTGTGTGGAAAAAATACATTGTATGTCAATGTTCAACATCAGAGCAACTAATATGCATGCAAGCGGTCTGGAAGAAAATAGTACTATTGAAGTTTCGCAGAGATTTGGTGTGTGACAAGGTGATGTTACAACTAACTTCTCTTGATCTTCTGCTTTCTTTGGACGAAAGAGTTGTGAATCATTAGTGATGTTATAAGACTGACACCAGAAGGCAAAATGGTAGCGTCTTCAAATTATAACAACTGAAAGCCAAATATGTGATCAATCTAATCCACATGTATCCTCACAACCTGACACTTTTATACGATTTCGCGCTCAGTTTCCCTCCTTGTAGTTTGGATATGAAAACATGTTTTTTTGTGTGTAAAAGCTAAACTTTAAAAAAGGACAGAAAACAACACAAAATTGAGTCACCTGAACGTGTTGACAGTCTTTTGAGGTGTGCTAATGTGAGTAATCATTTATCCATGGTAAAGATAATCTCGAGTACATATTTATTTTCAAATGCAGTCTACCTTTCAGCATGCATTACCAAGTACATATTGAAGTCAACACCTGTGCAATCAGGTAAAACAGTTACTGAAGAATTAGAATATGAACTTGCTTTCAATTCATTGATAACGATTGTTAATGATGATATTATGTTCATCCAGAAAAAGGCCTTTCTCATGTAGCACATCCTTGACATATACCGATTACTTTTACCCAAGAATGTCTCTGATGCTTACCCAACTGGCAAACTCCAGAACAAACTACTAAGTAACTAGTTATTATGACACCTTACAATTCAGACACAGCGGGGACAAGGGATTTCAAATATATAGTTTAGCTCTGAGCTCACTATAGGGGATGCCATATCTACTGCAGAAAAAAATGAAGTTCATGTTTAGACTTCCAGAATTACACCAAGGTGTGTCTGAAGATATCAAGGGTTAATAAAAAGAGGAACAATTACTTCACTCTGCCGCTAGCGCTCTTAGGAGCTCTGTCCTAGTCGGGTCCTTCCGTGGAAAAGATGCCCGGATGTATGGCTATTACAAAATCAATCGTTTTTGTAGCAAAATCAACATTTGCCTAATTACATTTGGGATTGGCCGTGCACCTATATATGAAATATGGGAATATGGGTCACGAACATTGATAGAAACTTTGTCCTCGTATGGCTTTTGTGTTTCCTATGCAGAGGTAAGACTATACCTGACAAGCATTGCCATGCATGAGTTTGACCGAATCAAGACGGTATTTACGCTCTAAATGGCATTGTTTCAAAACACCAAGGGGAGTGTTTGATACAAAAAGGTGCCGACAATATAGGCCTCAACACGGAGACAATTGATATTAAGGAACGTTTCATTCCATGGCACGAGCAGACTTTCATGTTTGTCATTCCATAATTGATTCCAGTTTGCGTCAGATGAAAGTGAAGAGAGTTCAAGATAACACTTTTCAACTGACTGACAGTGCATCATCGTTGGCGACTGTTCATTATACCAAAGGTAAGAGAGGTCCTGTTCGCGTTCCGAATGCTTTCAAAAACATTTCAAATTGTGCTGAAAAAATTTAAAACACATCAGAGATTCCTTTGGAAATTTTGTGGTCCATGTCAAAATATATCGGAAATTTTCATGTTTAGTCGGAAACGTTTGACCATCAAGTTATTCCATTTTAGACCGGATATAGCAACTCTTTCTGACTTCACGGTTAGATTTTTGGCCTGGAAAACAAAAAAAGATAAACCCCAACATTTTTCAAGGGACACATGACAACAGATTACTAACAAGATTATCTTTGTACTTGCAGAGGTAAATCTTTGTGCTCAAAAGCTGTGTTTGCTTTGAACAAACTCTGTCCTGCACCGAACTTGTTTGTGTTAAGAAAGGGAAGTATGTCGTAATGCTAATACGCGTACTGAATCCGCATACGATGACGAAGAGATTGATTCATATCCCTATTTAATGAAGACTAAAGCTATTGCATGTAGCTTTAAAAAGACAAGTTATATAAGGGTCTTGACCGATTTTAAATTACAACATTAGTAAATTGGCATTACATTGTATTTTCCATTACGTCTATAAAAAATTGATGTGTCTACACTTTTTTTACCAGGATAATCCCATTAAGATGTTCATGCACCAAACTGAGTTTGTTTTACACTGAATAAACCGCTAAATTAATGCAAGTCACACTTATGATTTTTTTTAAACCTCGCATTCGCCTCGGTTGACTATGATATTTTTGGTGTTATAACTAATATGTCAGGACTTTGCAAATACACAATAATTATTTATGTATAAATAGATACTAATTTTTCCAAATTTACACAACCTTTAGATGCAAAATTAAAAACACTGTTTCAGCTCTTGAATTTTGTTTTTTTCAAAGATAGAAAAAATATTGAAATAATTTGATAAACTGTTGTTTTATAGTTCAGAAAATAATTCTGTAATATACTGTAGTTAAAAATTATAAGCAATATGAAAGTTAATGGATGTGAAAAGTTCAAGGCCACTTCTACTTTTGCTATGTCAGAAATGGAAAAAAATCAGAAGGATCCAAATCAACGCCATTTTGTAATGGCGGCTCTTCAAATAAATAGTCAAATTTGTTGTTTTAACATACTTCGCAACAAATGCTTATGATTGAACCGTTTTTGTAGCATTCTAATGAATAAATATAAGAAAATTTCTCATTTTTGTCCTTGTGGTTGAAATATTGATATTTTTAGGCCTAACCTTTGACCCAAATTTCACAAAAATGTGACCACTCTGGATTTTTACGACCAAACTTTTCTTATTGTACACGTTTTCCTCTTTCCATCGATATATAATTTAGGTGTGTGTTCTTCCGGAACATTAAAGTTTTAAAAAATGAACTCCGGTTGCAGTACTATAAAGTTAGAGATTTTTCTTACTTTTAAACATATTTTTTTTCATAAGTTTTCTTTTCCGGACCATCTTTTAAAGAAAAAGCTGAGACGTAAATCTATGCTTTAAACATGTCTGTCCCTAAATAGATTGTGAAGTACCCATTTCAAAATAATATTTTTTATTTATCAAAGTTATAAAAAAAATCTTTTAAGGTGATATGGGAAGCCATTTAACCACAAAATTTCATGAAACAATATAATCAACACCTTTATTAATTAGTCCATTGTTGCTGATGGCTTAAATATACAATCAGCTGATTATTGATTTTCTGTAAAAATCGTAACGCTTGACGATTTCAAGGTGAAATCCCAGTATTGTCTGATCAGGGAAAAAGTCTTGAGAAACCCGAAAAAATATAGACAAAGTGGAAGTAGTTGAACGGTTATATTTCTTTCACCAAAAACTTTTGCCAATAATTTATTTTTATTCCCACAATTTTTATATTTTCGCAAAATGTGAAAATGGGGACAGCCAGCAGAAACCCTGATATGACAACTTGAGAGGAATTTACTGATAAATCATATTTTGAATATTCCAAGAAATAAAGGCTGTCAAAATGGCAAAAAACATCACAAAAAATGAGATTGAAAACAGTTGTTAAGTGAAACTTTTTAAAACCTCAAACATATTTCCTGTTCATACTAGAGACAAATTCTATCTGTTCAGTGTTTCTGTTATTACTTCTTATAAGTAAACATTCTCAGTTGTAAGAATAATAAGAAAGTCAACATTTTGAAAATCAATATGCATGTATATTAATATTTGTTTTATGTCATTTAAGGAGCCACATTATCTGTGATCATAGATCTGGACACAAAATCTTCCATTGTGATATCTTCATGTATAGCTGTTTTTTATACTTTGTTTGGAGGCCTTTACTCTGTGGCCTATACAGATGTAGTCCAACTTTTCTGTATATTTATTGGACTAGTAAGTATACTGAATTAAGAAACCTGTACTCTGACCTTTACAGATGTAGTCCAACTTTTCTGTATATTTATTGGACTAGTAAGTATATTGTATTTAGAGGCCTTTACTCTACTTTTCTGTATATTTATTGGACTAGTAAGTATACTGTATTTAGAGGCCTTTACTCTGTGGCCTCTACAGATGTAGTCCAACTATTTTTATAGTTATTGGACTAGTAAGTATACTGTATTCAGAGCCCTTTACTATGATCTATACAGATGTATTTCAACTTTTCTGTATATCTATTGGACTGTATTAAGAGACCTGTACTCTGGCCTATACAGATGAAGCCCAACACTTTAAACAAGTTTCAAAGTGGTCTAAACTTGGCTTATAATATGATGGATGCCGTTTAGTATTTGACATTCTGATTTCCTGGCAAAATATTTTAACAGTAAACAGTATCAGTACCAATTAATTAAGTTGGTTCTATTAATATGTTATTAAATATTTTTCTGTATATAATATAGCATCCTTTTGACATCTTTGATATAAGAAAATATAATGCAGAAACTGATGAATACAAGGAGATAGGGGTACACCTTAATTAGACAACATCCTGATAACCCAAAATAACCAAATGAAATGAGCAGAGGTCAACATACAATCTTCAACAATAAACAATTGCCTCAAGTCTAATTTTGAACTTGTTTTTTGGTGTGTTTCTAGATATAAGAAAATGTATATTTATGAGTTTAAGATCTTTTTTGCATATATTCTTGCGTTAATTAATTTCCAAAATTTACAACATATCTTTAATAACTACAAAAGGTAAATCAATGCGTAAGAGAAAAAAAGAAAATGATCATGTCTTCTATATGAAAACACATTACTATTTGCTCTATACCAGTGGAGAAACTTTTCTGTTTATATAGTGACAATATTTTATATTTTCAGTGGTTAACTATTCCATTTGCTATGGCAAATGAGGCTACTACTAATATTGGTTTCAACGCAACAACAAAGTGGGTGAAAGATTTGGATCCTAAGTATACTGGTAGTTATATGGACAGCTATTTGTTGTTGATATTTGGTGGTATTCCTTGGCAGGTATGGTAACTATTATTGTAGACTGATGTTTTATCTTGATTTATGTACAAAACAAATTATTATACCCCCGCTTTAAAAAGTGGGGGTATACTGTTTTACCTCAGTCTGTCTGTCCGTCTTTCCATCCGTCCCATGAATATATTTCGTCGCATTTTTCTCAGGAACTACATCATAAGGATTTCTGAAATTTGGCTTCAGGGTTTATATAAGTCAGCTATACCGTGTGATGTGTTTTCAGATTCATCACTCAACAACTTCCTGTTTACCGAACACTTACATCATTTTACACATGACATCCAAGTAGTTGAAAATTTTCATCACATTTATCTCAGGAACTACATCTCAATGATTTCTGAAATTTTGTTTCAGGGTTTATATGAGTCAGCTATAATGTGTGATGCGTTTTCAGATTCATCACTCAACAACTTCCTGTTTTCCAAAATATTTGGGCGGGGGTATCATCAGTGAGTAGTAGCTCGCAGTTTCACTTGCTTTTATCAAGATTTGGTGATTTGTTCCTATATAGGATTTCATGATACCAAATTTAATTTGATGCATCATATTGATTTAGAAAAAAGACAAACTATTCTTTAGTGCAATGAAATCAGTAGATTTTTCAACCAATTGCAGTTAAAAATCTGTAAACACAAGTCAAGTTTGAAATTTGGCTCATTTCTCGTATGTTGATTTAAAATTGTTCCCGAGTTACACATTACCCAAACCAAAAAGTAGGATAAATAGACAAATATGTGATTAAATTTGAATTGGACATATTATTTGTATTTTGTGAAAGGTTTGTTTTGTTCTGAATCCTGTTGTCCATTAGGGTGGGGACTTCTTAATGATTAGGTGCAGCATGACCGTTGTACCTAGTGATGTTAGTCAGTAATATAAACTTAAAAGTTATATCCTCCTTCATATGTTTTATAAACATAATAAGATGTGGTATGATTGCCAATGAGACAACTCTTCTGACCAGAGTCCAAATGTCATAGAAGTTAACAAATATAGGTCACTGCACGGCCTTCAGCAATGAGGAAAACCCATACAGCAAAGTAAGCTATAAAAGTCCCTGAAATGACAAATGTAAAAAAATTCAAACGAGAAAACTAGATTTGTGTTCAAAACAATAAATGAAAAACAAATACGATATACAGCAACAAAAGACAACCATTAAACCACAGGCTCCTGACTTGGGACAGACACATACAGAATGTGGCAGGGTTAAAAATGTTTGCTGACGCCAAACCCTCCCACTTACATGAAACAGTGGTGTAACAGCACAACATAAGAACAAAGTATAAAAATCAGTTGAAAAGGGCTGAACTTATCAGATCAATACAAGGCATAAAAAAAAACTAACAATAACACAAAAGACGCAAAGTACAGATCTGAGAGTACTCACAGTTTCTGAAAGTTAGTTTAAAGCCAATAACAACTAATAAAAAAATTCATGTATCTAAGACTAAAATATCAAATAAGTGATCTTTTCAATTAATATGAGTAAAAGGTCAGTCATATTTGGTACATAGAGTCATTGCAATGTATACATGTCTGTCAGTCAGGGTTCACCCAGCCTTGACCTTATTTCATGTTTCAGTAATAAGCAGTAAGTTTCCATGATCAGTTTCTCAGATACAATATTAAAGTAAAAGTTTAACTATATTTAGAGCATAGAATGATTGTAAGGTGTATGTGTTTGTCTCGACAATGTTAATCTAACTTTGACCCCATTTTGATGTTGATTGATAAACTAAGCTGTTGTGATTAGGTTGATTACACATTTATAAGAAGCTTTAAAACAAATATATTTGATGTATAGAGTGATTGATTGCTTGTCCAATAGGTTTTATCTGAATTTGACCATACGCTTATGGTATATATATACTAGTCAATGTTATGAAGAGGGGGTCTCTACCTGAATTCCTGAGAAAATAAATGCATAAATTTGAATTCCTTTGAAAAAAGGGTGTCCCTTCTCGCATCTCAATAAAATTTAATCCTGAATTCCCAATTCCTGACAATTTAGATGGCTAGTCCCAAATTCCCGTGAATTAAATGGATCAATCCCATATCCTGAAAAAGCTCCATCCCCTCTTCTATGAATCCGTAAATAAAAGTTCAACAACATTTGGTCTGTAGAATGTTTTTAATACATGTCCTTCTGGCAGGATTCTTCATCAAAGCATGGCCTAATTTTCTTGGTTCTTTAATTAACTTTATGTTTTGATGATAAGGTCAGATTCTTATTCAGTATAAATCGATAAGTAAATTATATTTGGTGTATAGAAATATTTTAAGGTTTGAATATCTGTCTTGACAGAATTCATCTGACCTTGACGTCATTTTTATGGTTTATTGATTACTAAGTTTTTGTAACAAGTCAGTTACACATTTATTTGAAGAAATGGAACTATTTTATAGAATGTTTGTCCCATGATTTTTCATTGATAAATGTAAATTTTATGATTCATGATACAATGTATGTCCTATACGTAACATTTGCAGGGTTTATTTGACATTAAGTTATCTGTGTTTTAATAGGTATACTTCCAGAGAGTTTTATCAGCAAAGACTGCTGCAAATGCCCAGATTTTATCTTTTGTTGCTGCTGTAGGATGTATTGTCATGGCATTACCAGCAGTACTGATTGGTGCTATAGCAACAGAAACAGGTACACTTTTTTCATATTCATTCATTATTCAACCTTTTTTTGGAGAAAAAAAAAATTAATTTACTGAGCTTGTTTAAGTTTGCATTGAAGCACAACCTAGCTCACAACTGTGCAACATTACTATCTACTATAGAGGGAGTAAAGCCACTAAACCAGTTAACATGAACAGCCCTGTAAAGGTGTATTTTTAAAAATTCAATTGATTGAGTAAATTGTTTGTCTATGTATTTCTAAGTGTATTAATTCTGAAAGTATAATAAGAATAGTTGTATATCTACTTCATATTCATAAATACATTAGCCAGAAATAGGATTAGATTTCATTTTAGTCCAATTTTTTAGAAATTTGTCACCCTTTTGACCTTTTTATGTGATTTCATGAGGCGCCACCCCTTGTCTATTGAAATTTTGATTGAAAAGTAAAGAATATGGTATATAGAGAATATTTCAGCAAAAATATTTGTAGGGGAGGGGTGGCGCCACTGTTATTTTTTTTCAGAAACTGTCATAAATTTATTCAAATTATGCCAGAATCCAGTTTTAATGAATGTCACCTTCATTTATGACGTCACAAATATGTCACTTATGACACTATTGGTGAATATCTTTTTTAACTAAAACAAAAAATTAAACTTTTATTGGTACATGTATTGCATTTACTATTTTGAGAGTTTTGTCCCCTTATTGATGTAAAAATGGTAAAATTAATGTTTTCAGATGATAATACAAGATTGCTCTAAATAGATACTTATATGACGTCAGAGCTAAATCACTTCAAAATGATGAATTTTGCATGAGAGCTTTACTATGTTTGAAGATTAGAAATTAAAGCATTACTATTAACCATAAAATGCAGATAAAGTTTATTATTTTTTTTTCAATGTGCTGATTGAATAGCATCTTTTTACTTGTTTAAAAAAAAAATATTTGTCATTGTCATAACCATAACTATAAATAATTTTGACCACTATTATGTTTAATTGTAGACTGGAATATGACAGATTATGTACAGGTTGAAGGACATAGTCCAGTGTTTGAAAAGGATGAGGTTAAGTTAATTCTACCATTAGTATTACAATATTTGTGTCCAGTGTGGGTATCATTCTTTGGTTTGGGAGCTGTGTCTGCTGCAGTTATGTCGTCTGCTGATTCTTCCATTCTGTCTGCCAGTGCCATGTTTGCCAGGAACATTTACAAATGTGTATTCAGACAAAAGGTAAGAATAGTTTTAATTTACTAAACTACACCTTTGTTCTTATAATAAAATTGAGAATGGAAATGGGGAATGTGTCAAAGAGACAACAACCGGACCATAGAACAGACAACAGCAGAAGGTCACCAACAGGTCTTCAATGCAGCGAGAAATTCCCGCACCCGGAGGCGTCCTTCAGCTAGCCCCTAAACAAATATATATACTAGTTCAGTGATAATGAACGCCATACTAAACTCCAAATTGTACACAAGAAACTAAAATTAAAAATAATACAAGACTAACAAAGGCTAGAGGCTCCTGACTTGGGACAGGCGCAAAAATGTGGCGGGGTTAAACATGTTTATGAGATCTCAACCCTCCCCCTATACCTCTAGCCAATGTAGAAAAGTAAACGCATAACAATACGCACATTAAAATTCAGTTCAAGAGAAGTCCGAGTCTGATGTCAGAAGATGTAACCAAAGAAAATAAACAAAATGACAATAATACATAAATAACAACAGACTACTAGCAGTTAACTGACATGCCAGCTCCAGACTTCAATTAAACTGATTGAAAGATTATGTCTTCAACATATGAATATCAGGCACAATCCTTCCCGTTAGGGGTTTAGTATCATACCATCATAACATATATGAGAAGAACATAACCCGTGTCATGCCAACAACTGGTTTTTAAATAAATGTGTTTAGTGCCGATGCAAAGTAGTTCAGATCTTATAGACCACCAAAAATTATATTAAAAGCAAAAAATTGTAATCAATAATTAACCATTTAACCAAACAGTTGTTAACATGTCAATACTATTTTCAGTTATTGCTTGATCATTTTCGTCACATTTTTAAAAAGTTGCATGATCTGTTTTTTTACAAATTGTTTTAGGTTATATTTTTGGATATTATAGCTTTGTTTTTTTTATCTGTCAGAAAAATGCATTTTATAAGGTTTTAATCAGAATAAATAAAGTCAATTTGAAGAGTTTCTGCTGGCTGAAATGAAATTGATATAGAAAAGAAGAATTGAATATAAGATCAGTTTTTAGCTCACCGGGGCCCACAGGGCCCCATGTGAGCTTATGCCATCACTTGGCGTCCGTCATGTGTTAAACTATTTCAAGAATCTTCTCCTCTGAAACTACTAGGCCAAATACCTTCAAACTTTAACTGAATGTTCCTTAGGGTATCTAGTTTATGAATTGTATCTGAAGTTTTGATCCATCAACAAACATGGCCACCATTTCTAAAAATAGAACATAGGGGTCAAATGGCTTATATCTCAAAAACTAAAGCATTTAGAGCAAATCTGACAGGGGTAAAAATGTTTAATAGGTCAAGATCTATCAGCCCTGAAATTTTCAGACGAACCAAACAACACATTGTTGGGTTGCTACCACTAAATTGATAATTTTAAGGAAATTTTGCAGTTTTTGGTTATTTTCTTGATTATTATTGAAGATAAAGATAAACTGTAACATGTTCAGCGAAGTAAGATCTACAAAAAAAAGTTTATACAACCAAAATTGTCAATTGACCCCTTAAGTAGTTATTGCCCTTTAAAGACAATTTTTCACAATTTGTTCATCTAGTTTGCTTGCCTTACTTTAAAAAATCTTCTCCTTTGAAACTGCTGTATCTATTTCAGCCAAACTTGGGCTGAATGAGTTTCAGAGTATCTAGTATAAATTTTGTATTTTTATTTCCTTGTACGTCAAGAAACATAGCCACTATGGCTATAATGGAACATAGGGGTAAAATGCATTTTTTGCTTTTGAAGAAAATATGACAGATACAAAGAACATTTAAATGGAATTTTTAAGCCACTCATTAGTTTATATTGAAAAGCAAAAATACTCATTGATGAAAGATTTAAGCAAAAAATTACAGGTGAGCGATTCAAACTCTTGAGAGCCTTTTGTTACAATTGCTTACACTAAATAAAATATGCCTCATATAGCTCTTTATGAGTTTCATTTTTGACTAACAGGTATTTTTACTTTTTTTTAGGCATCAGAGAAAGAGATAATATGGGTAATGAGATTTGGTATATTTGGTGTTGGAGCTTTGGCCACAGCTATGGCAATCGAAGTAGATTCCATCTACGACCTATGGTTCCTGTGTTCAGACTTAGTCTATGTTATACTTTTTCCACAGTTAGTGTCTGTGGTCTATCTGAAAGGAACTAACACATATGGATCTCTTGCTGGATTTATCTTAGGATTATTTTTCCGCATTGCTGGGGGTGAAGAAAGTATGAATATTTCTCCAATAATTAAATACCCTTGGTACGATGAAGTAGAAAAGGCGCAATTATTTCCCTTCAAAACTTTAAGCATGATCATGTCATTTGTGTCTATTATAGGAGTATCTTATCCACTTAAGTACTTATTTGAGAGTGGAATGATTCATCGCCGCTTTGATGTATTTATGTGTATTGTAAACACTCCTGAAGAAACATTATCATTAGCTGATAAAGGACCATCAGAATTAACAGCCATTACACCAACAATAGAGAGTCGTGGACAAATAAATCCTGCACTTAAGATCTCAAGAGAAGATTTACATAAAGTAAATGGAACGATATCTGCAGATGAAAGATCTCTATTACATCCCAAAACTGGACAAGTAGATGATGATTAAAGAGAAAAAAATAGAAATTCCAATTTATATTATTCAACCAAAGCTTTTAAAAATCAGTACTTGAATACAAAGATGTTTTATTATTTAAGTAATTTACTCCGATGAAATTTATTGCAGTAGTTCAGATTTGGTTTTTTACTTATTCTTGGCTCTACATCTTTGGTAAATGTTATTGCAATGGTTCAGATTAAGTTTTTACTTAATCTGGGCCCCACATCAAAGATTTGGATGCCCTCTTGTTGTCCCTTTGTCTGTTTGTCCATCACTATTTTCTTTAGGCATAACCAATAGTTTATCATTATTTTATTGAATACTCTTTTGTATAATGCCAAAAGAATATATTTACAAAACTTAAATATTGTTTATCTAGAATTAAAAAACTATTTTGTGGTATGCATTCCAGGGTATATGTTTAAACAGGTTTTATTGTTTTACATTTTAGAATATCTTTTTACACAACATTTTATTTATTTTTGTCAGATTATAATTGTTTTAAAAATACAACTTTCCATGTTACAGTTTATTTGTATATCATGTTATTAAACAGACGACTACGGTACTTCCTTTTGTCTGTCATATGTTGTTCTTCTTCATTTAAGAATTGAATGCTTCTTTTTGTAAATTTATTGGGGTGTAAAAGCGTTGACCGAAGTAAATTTTGTATGAAGTGCAGAAGGGCTTCATTCTAAAAATGTGTGCACGGTCAACACTTTTACAACCCTATAAAATTACTAAAAGAAGCATTCAATACTTATAATTACATTTTTTCCTAGGATCATGAAAACACGATTTCTATCAAGTTTTTCTTTTATTTACCTGTGCACTTTATTGTGGAAGCTTGTGTCATCATGAATGTTACATTTCATTTTGAAATGAAGGTTAATTTCAGAATGACGCGAGATTGCTGTTAGCCAATCAAAATAACATATTATAATGAAACATACATGTAATGTAATTATTTCAATTTAAATGCTATCTAAAATTCTTCTCATCTACCAAACCAAATTTTATCAAAATTAGTCTGAATGACTATGGACCACATTAGCTATTATTACATTTGTGTAGGTCAGAATAATGATGGAGGTTAAACATTAATAATTCATTTATTTTCTAAAATTATACCTGTTGTAACCACATGTTTTTGAAAAAGTTCTTCTTCATTTGTATTTTTCAGACCTATGTTCATTCTATCCTAAACAGGCAATTAACATGGATGACTATAGTAACTTTAATTATCTGTTAAACATTTTGTGAAATTTGGAGATTAGGGCTTAGATTTTATTGTTCACATCCAGTAACCCTTTCAATAAATAGCCCTATGAAAGTACATTTTTATGCCCCACCTAGGGGCATTATGTTTTTCGGTCTGTGCGCCCGTTCGTCCGTCTGTCTGTCCCGCTTCAGCATATTCAGGTTAAAGATTTTGGTCGAGGTAGTTTTTGATGAAGTTGAAGTCCAATCAACTTGAAACTTAGTACACATGTTCCCTATGATATGATCTTTCTAGTTTTAATGCAAAATTAGAGTTTTGACCCCAATTTCACGGTCCACTGAACATAGAAAATGATAGTGCAAGTGGGGCATCCGTGTACTATGGACACATTCTTGTTAAAATCTACTCACATTTATCTAATTTAAATCAAGCTTTGCCTGATAGATCCTATCAGATACTTCTAATCAGCATCCCCAAAAGTACTTAAACATTTTAATAAATATGGAATGTTTCCCTTGTGGGTCTTTTGATCAAATTCATACTAGAATCTTTAAAAAATTATATGCATAGTACTGTTACCTGTTATAAGCTTGGTAATGCCCTTATACTGTCAAGTGTCAAGTGCCGTTTTTTTACTACAATGAACAACATGGAACTGACATTCGTGTATACATTTTTCAAGCAGGGGACTCAATCCCACTATTGGGATTCACCAGAAACCTCAAATTTTTGATAATATTTTTAATAGTTACCATTCTTTTGAACAAAAACTGTAATTCATCATACATGATACAGTGGTTTTTGGCAGACACAAAAGATGATCCTTTTGAATATTTGTATTTAGATGCTTTTCTGTTTTTATTTTTCTATAACTTTTTTGTAGATTTTTCTCCATTTTTAGCATTGATCTTTTAATGTGCAATATATATGGACCATTTGTCCTATTTACATAGTTTTTATAATTTTGTTTTTGTTTTTGTTAAAGGAGCATTAGCTAGGAATTAGACAAAAACTTAGAATATGATTCTTTTTATCTCAAACATTTAGCAGTCGGTTTGGTTCATTTTCATCAAAATATACAAAAAACGTCATTCATGTATTACATGTATTGGCTTGCAAGTCTATAATTCAACCTCATCAAAATCCTTATTTGTACAAACTTTAGTTTGACCTTTAGTGGAGATTGGTTTCGCATTTGTTCAGCAGGTAGTTCATTTATTAAAAAAAAAAAAAGGAATATCAACATTGCAACATATAACAAGTGGACACTTTAGGAATAACCATTTTGTTAACTAATTCATCTTACGAAAAATCATTAGATATCGGTAAAAAGATGATATGCATATATTTTTAGCGTAAAACTTGAATTCCAACCGACATAGAAAAATCATCATTATACGATTGCATGTGGCTTGTCTATCTCTAGCTATTTATATTTATGTTTGTATCTGGTAATATGACTGCTGGCAGTCTTAAGAGGTCATTTCGATGGATGTAGTCTAAAAACTTTAAAGGTGTACCGATTTGTTCATAGCAAAGCCATCATTTATACGTAAGGAGTGGTGGACCAAACCAAATAAATGTTTTAAAAACATAGTTCTTGTTAATATTTTACTCTGTTTTCTGACTTTATGTATTACATTTGTAAAAAGTTTGTTAGAATTTTGACTTTTGTTACAATAAAGTGAATAGATTTTTTCTGCATGTTTTGTCGAATTATTAGTTACACTGTGAAACAATGTCAATGACAGGTTAGAACCAAAGCCCTGAGAGAAGTCAAGATAAAAAAATGCTCATTGTTGAAGGTCTTACAGTGACCCATAGATGCTAACCGTTTACATCATTTGGTCTCTGATGGAGTCTTATTGGTAATAATAACACATCTTATTTTTATCTTTAGATCAGATGTATTGATCCATTGGCTCCTTCTCTAGTTAAAATAAATGTGTGCTCATTGTTTAAAAATGTACGGTAACCTATGCCGGTAGTTGTCTGTGTCATTTTGTCTCTGGATGATATTTGTATCATTGGTAATCATACTCTTCACATCTCCATATCTTTATAATGGAATAGGAATGTGCTCTTCTTTGTTTTATGAAATTATGTGGAGCTGGCATTTTAACATGGCAGCCCACAACATAACGGTATATAGGATAACATGTCTAAAGACTACTGTGGATTCATTTATTTTGATGATACCAATTACTGTAAATTCAGAAATTATTGCGTGCATTTATTATTGCGATTTTTGAGAAATCAACAAAAATGCAAGATTAATTATTGCGATTTCAGAAACATCTCCATACAGATATATGCATCAGATTTCAGAATGCGAGTCCTTATTATTGCGATACTCACCAAATCGCATTATTCGCATTAATAAAAACCTCGCAATAATTTCTGAATTTACAGTATTGTGGATTGAGGAAAATTTTGCTTTTTTGTGGATAGTTGATTTCTTGGTTGTAAAGATTTAAGACAAAACTTTATTTCCATTAACACTATATATATGGTAAAAGTAAAAACCTGCGATCAAGAAAATGTCAAGCAAAACAGAGCATATTTTTTACTGTATGTAGAAGACGGAATTCATGATGCAAAACTCTAAATAAGGATTTAGATCAAGACATGTTAACCATGCAACCATATCTATTTAGGTACTAATTCTTACTATGTAGCAAAAATGTTGGAACTAAATATTTTACCATTGTCCTTTTTTCCTAAGAAGACCTATAAGGGAACAACCATTTAACTTCAAGGGGGGGGGGGGGGGGGGGGGGTTATGGCTTTTTTCTAAAAAAAATATTGTGGTCAAGCAGATGACAAAAAAAATATTCTGAATCCAGATTTTCCCCATACCTTATAGTGTTATATTTTGAAAAAAAAAATTTGATTGATAGCATCGAAAAACTAAAAAAAATGTTTGGGCTATGCGCGAAAAAAAATTTCTGACTCATACAAAAAACCATTACCCCCCCCTTTGAAGTTAAATTGTTGCTCCCTAACTGGCTTGAACTGACAGCTGATAGGACTGACGACCCACTTCCTATGAAAATAGGGATTTGGTCAATTTTTGTCATTTGGGCAAATTGTTATTGATTGCAGATATTTGAAGAAAAATTTATTCTTTAATATATTTACTTTCATAGACCCAAATTAAAGCTTGGTAGATTGTATATACACCATAAATACAAACAATACAAACAATCATTGATTAGTCAGCTGGACTCCTTGCACGAAGAGAATCCAAAACTGTATTGGAACTTAATTAATGAACTACAGGAAAAAAATGAAACACAAAAAAAATGTGGAGTACAACCATCAACTTTGATATCACATTTCCAAAAGTTGTCACAACTGAAAGGTGAATTTCAAAGTAGATATACAGAGCTATGTGAAAAACTGAAACAGTTAGAAAACTCAAAATGTTTCAACAAGTTGGACTCCGTTATCACTGAGTCTGAAATATCCAAAGCCATTTCACACTTAAAATGCAATAAATCATCAGGCTTGGATAACATTAGTAATAATATGATAAAGATGTTTAATACTTGTCTGTCTTCAGGTATATACCCAACATCTTGGGCTGAAGGTTATATTACACCAATTTTTAAAAGCAACGATACAAGTGACCCTAACAATTATAGAGGAATAACAATAACAAGTGCAATTGGAAAGCTTTTTAATAGAATATTAAGTCTAAGACTGGACAAATTTCTTCAGGAACATAATATTATACATGATAGTCAAATTGGATTCACAAGGAAAGCCAGAACTGCAGATCATATGTTTATTTTAAACTGTCTTATTAACAAATACTGTAATTCAAAAGAAGGTAGACTGTTTGCCTGTTTTGTTGATTTTCAGAAGGCTTTTGATACTGTTATACATACAGGGATCAAGATTAAACTACTAGATATTGGGGTTGGGTCTTATTTTTATAACATTATTAAAAGTGTGTATGAAATTAGCAAATCATGTGTCAAAATTCAAAATCAAGTAAGTGATTTTTTCCCATTAGATATTGGAGTCAAACAAGGTGACAACCTCAGTCCGGATTTATTCAAGATATTCATAAATGATTTGCCCAGATATTTGTCAGATACTAGAGACCCAGTTAATGTCAATGACAAAGATCTACATTGTTTAATGTATGCTGATGATATTGTTTTATTATCTACATCTGCTGAAGGACTACGAGAAAAGCTGGGAATGCTTGATAAATTTTGCAAAGATTGGTGTCTTAATGTGAATACTAATAAGACAAAGGTGCTGATTTTCAACAAGGCAGGCAGACATGTAAAACAGATATTCACATTTCAGAATATAAATCTGGAATGTGTTTCAAAATACAAATACCAAGGTTTATATTTAAGCTCATCTGGTTCATTCAGTTATGCTCAAAATGAACTATACAAAAAATCCCTGAAAGCTCATTTCAAATTAAGGAAAGATCTTTTATCACTTAATCCTGATGTAAAAACAAGTATTCATGTTTTTGACCACACTGTAAAACCTATTTTATTATATGGTAGCGAAATATGGGGGATGTTTAATTCTCTTTCCTCTAAATGTAAGAAGGAAGATATATCTTTTGAAAAATTATATTCAGGTTTACCCTGTGAGAAACTTCATATAAAATTTTGTAAATTTATACTTGGGGTACACAAGA